GGCGAGCACTCTCGGCCTCGTACTTTTATAAGACCGCTTCTCCAGAATATTCGAGATCTGTGTTCACTTCGGAGATATCGTTATTTCGAACATTCTGGAGTGTTGGAAACTAAAAACCAAATAACGCTATTGTTAAATGACTTTTATTAAACACAACAGAAACTCAACATTGTTCTGACTGTGAAAGAATCTAACTAACAATAAGATCCGATCACGTGACTCATCATGTGACAGCGCTGCTCAGGGGCCTTCCTGCGCGTCGCTTTCGATCGTCAACTGTATTTGGCTGGTACATCAGGGCGCAGTGATGCCGATCCCCTCCACGCGCTCAACTGGCATGCATGAAGATGCAAAGTCGGCATCCCTGTGGTACATATCTTCGACTGAAATCGTATTTTTCTCTTTCGTGAGCATCGTGTGTTACATTGTGCTGTGCGTAAAGTGCGATTAAAAATGTAGAGGTATGAGTGGAAGTTCTTACATCGCGAGTAGGTTTGTGGTGCGCTAGGCGATGCGAGAGATGGCGTGCTGCGCAAGAGGAGAGAGAGAAAGTAGATTAAGATACTAAAAAGTGTGCGAGAGAGAAGTGTTGCGCGAGTAGTGAGACATCGCGTGCATGTTAGCGAGCAGGACGTCGCGCGGAATAACGAGGTTTGTAAGTGCGGAAAGATTCTACAAAACCTCAGTGGCTAGAATCCTACAAAAATGAATGAAAAAAAGGTATATTGTGCTTTACAACAACGGTGTAAGTGCATTAAATTTGTGTCTGAAGAAGGTGTATCAGATGTAGAGATTATTCGACGTAAAGTCCGAGATATTTGTACGCGAGATAAATCTCTAAATATGGCGATGCATAACAAAACGATTGTTATACAAATGAAAGATTCAGACAGAGAAGTGTGGTGTGATGTCGAGGAAAATGAAGAGATACCCGATAAAGTTGATTTAAATGTTATTCTTTTATCATCAATGTCTGAATCAGTATCGTCTCTTTTACCTGACGAAAATGTTTCAATTGTTACGCCGACAACATAAAAAAACGAGGAAATATTATCTATGGATGTAAAAGTTCTTTATACTGAACCCTTAGTTGTAAAAGAACAACAATACATTGTCAAGGATAATGATACAGCTGTAAGTATAATAGAAACGTTATTTTTTTCTTCAATGCAGTTAATATTATATGTATAATAATGGATACTAATATATTATGCAGCTCCAAAGTGTACAGATAACAGATCCTGAATTAGTTAATGTTTCAAAGACAACGTGTGACTCAGATCAAAGCAAATTATCATCAATTTCTGCGGGTCCAGGAACTATTTCACCCTCTGCACCATTACCTCCTTTGTCATTCGACTTAGAATATAAAGTGCGAACATTTGGTACATTGCCTGCACAGAAAGATTTAATGTATCATTGGGGTTCGTATTTATGGCAAGCTACGGCAGGACAACCTTCAAAACGGGATTATCAAACTTTGGCAACTAGTATTGTTAAAGCCTATCCATCACTAGGAACAAGTGATGGTAGTTCTGTAAGTATTATTTAATAATTGTATTTTTTAATACATTTTATATCACACAATTCATATAATAAGAAAAAAAGATCATTGTATGAAATAATTATTTATGTTTAAATTTTTTTTATTATTTAACGATATTGTTATTTTTCACCTCAATAATAAAAATTTACTTTAAACTACGCTTTGTTTAATAAGAATAAATAATACACATTAACTTGTATGAAGTATATATTTCATTGAGACTATTTAAATAAATTTTTTTCTCGATGTA